AGAATCAAAAGGTAAAGCAGCGTTCGTCCTAGCGACGACACTTAGCATTTTAAGAAGTGGTCCTGGTCAGAAAAGGAACACAGATATGCAATAGGACAGATTCAGACATAAAAGACCCTTATATGAGATATAGTGTGTTCAAATAAATATGTGTAGGCTTGGGAGAGAGAGAAAAAGAATATAGACAGTTATAAAAGTTGTAAACGGTTTTAAAAAATAAAACAAAGTCTTTAAAGAGACAAAATACAGACAGTCATAGATTAAAAGAGTAAAAAAATGAGTCACATAAAGATGAAATACACAGAGAGTTTTGATTATGTATATTATTGTGTTTTCTTTAAATGTTTTGGCTGTGGATGAGCTAAGTACAGAAAGATATTTCATTGTATGGGCTGCTAAGCTAAACCAGTATATATGCTTTAAAGGTATCGTGACTTCAAAATTTGAATCTAAGGATCTATTGCTTTGGAAAAGAGGTTTTGCTTTTCTTTTGACAGAGGATGAGAACCTCTGGATTACTTCCAGGCTAATGTGGTTTGATGGGGCAAGACCCCATGAAAGGTCTCCACAAACCCCCAAAATACTTTGCCTCCCAAAAAGCAGAAAGCAGTTTGGATAGAACTACACCAAAATTCCCGAATATTGTTTAAAAATGTTTGTTTACATTTAAATGTGAATATGCTACAGAGATGAATACTTTCCATTGTTTGTTTCTTGGTCTATTGATATAAATTTAAGGTCAATTTTGTTATATGTATATTACTTCTCTTGATTAAGGTATTGTGTTTATGTAGTTCACTTAAAATATAATGTATAATTAAGAGATAAAAGTTAATAGATAGTCATCTATAATAATCAAACTTGCAGTCATGTTAGTTAGGTTTTCTAGATGTATAGAGATGTATTCCAGATGGATAGGTATTCTTTAAACCTTTCAAAGACTATCAGAATATGGCTTTAAAATGTTTAAGAACTTAGAACTTTTCTTGACAATGAGACACAACTGCTCCTGGCAGCACCAATCTACTTCAAGTGGATGGCAGACATTGAAGAGGCTCCTTATAGAGCTGGTTTAGCCATTTGGGCAAGAAACTGCCCTTACCTGGACTGTTTGGTGGCATGTTGTATAAACTGGACATGTAGGACCCACAGGAAAATGACTGCTGAAGTTGCCTAAAGAAGGTGAGACAGTCCTTCAGGGTTCCTGCTTTATGAAAGAGTCTGCCAGACATTCTGCAGGACACAGAATAAAGTGACTGACAAACTGCCAATATAGGTGGAACTGTCTTTGAAATGTTCTGCTTCATGAAAAGTCTGTTAGATACTATGGGCCTTTAGGCTGAAGATGGATACCCCAATGTTACAGAAGAACTTTGGGTGACTCTCCAGGCAGCAAGAGGTCTCCGTCAATTCTAGAGTTTTGAAGGTTGCTTACAATGCACTTCCTGTTAACTTAGGTAATATTATGTCCTTCTGAGGTATTTGAGGGAGTTGAAAAATAGTTATAATGATAGTTTTTCTTAGTTATGGTAAAAGATGGCATAGATATAAATATTGTTAACTACAATTCCTGCTTGATAACTATTTTGCACATGTAATTTTACTATGTTAAAGTTAAAACCTTCTTTTATATTTAGACAGAAAAGGGGAGATAATGTGGGAAGTCCTTCTGTATATGTGTTACTTTTATTGGTTAATGAATAAAGAAGATGCTTAGGCCTACAGCAAGGCAGAATAGGGCAAGATGGGAAAATCTACATTGAATCCTGGGAGAAAGTAGGTGGAATAAGAGAGATGCCATGTAGCTGCTGAAGGAGACAGATGGCCTGGAATCTTGCTGGTAAACCACAAGCCTTGTGATAAAATATAAAATAATAGGAATGGGTTAATTTAAGATGTAAGATCTAGCTAGAAATATGCTTAAGCTATTGGCCAAGCAGTGTTGTAATTAATACAGTTTCTGTGTGATTATTTTGGGTCTGGGTGACCAGGAACGAACGAACAGCCTCCACCTACACTCCCCAGCATTGAGCAGCCCACCATCACCTGTTATCTGGCTCTGCACATGGTCGGGCATCCCTCACCTAGAGCTCTGTTGTAAGCCCCAGCCCTGTTACCAGGAATTCTGTTTCAGATTTAATAAAACCAAAGACTCTGTGTTCATGGCATTTAACAGATTCCCTCTTCTCTCCAGTAATTCTGATGCTTCCTAGTATTCAGAAGCCTTGGTTGGAAGCGTCTCTTCTCACAAGCATGAGCAGTTTGGGGAGTGAGGGTGTCCCAATTAAAAGGAGATTCTGAGGTGGGGTCATGTTATTTGAAAGAACTTTGGGGTGATATGGTGTGGTGGTTTAGATTTGCTTTGGTAGCATATGTCTCTCTTTTTTTTTTTTAAATTTATGCTGCTGGACTGAGGTCTGTTTTAATAGGTATGTACAGTTGCCCAATGTTTGGGGATATACAGACAGACAAGGGAAGGCAAATGGGACAGACCCATAGAGGGACATCAGGGGCTGTGACAGAGCCAGAAGCAGCAGGGTGAGACACTGCTCTGCTCCACACCACCTGCAGCCCACTCCCATCCTAAGCTCCCTGGCCCTTTATGACGTCAATCCCAATTCTTGACTTCCCTGCAGGAAAGAATTCCCGGATAAGCCATTAGGAAGCAGAGCTGGGGATTGGTTTGTTTGTGAAGCATTTTCAGCAAGTTTAAGAACAGGAGTTAGTGGGAAAGGGAGACACGAAGAGAAGGAGTGAGGCCCACTCCAGAGTATTAGGGTGGATTGCTCAAGAGAGAGTCACTACGGAGTGTCTTTGCAGTTGCCAAGTATAATAATGCTTTTGATGGCTTCTAAAATTAACCTCAAGGTTTACTAAGGAGCTCAAATAAGATCACAGGAAGGGTCCTAGGTATTGGATGGGATCCCTGTTGGTAGGGTAAAGTCCTAGGCACAGCATTGCCGGGAAGTCGGGGTCTTCTACTGTCAACAAAGGTTTACCCATGTAAGGTCTCTGGAAGTATCTGAGAACAGAGGAAGGTTGTATTCACGGGCATGTAGGTTCGGGCATGATGCATGGTTTGCTGCTGTTTGAACACTCTTCTCTGTAGAGTTGCTATGTTGGCAACCTTCACAGCAAAGGCTCTCAATTGTGCTGTGCTGGGATTTCGGATTTTCAGTTGACAGGACGCTTAGCCTAGCCTCTGGGGCAAGGGGCTCATGACAAATGACAGAGAGGTCAGGAACATCATTTTAGTTGCTCATCCTTAAGCTAGGGCATCTGGGTCTCCTATGTCAGGTTCTCAGAGGGAATGGTGATTTCCAATGGTCAAGTCCTACAAAGAGATCCCTGCTCTACTTTGGGAGTGGAACAGGCTTGGTCCTACAGTGTTTCCCTCTTTGGTCTTTTAACTTTCTTCTTTACGTCTCAGGCTTCATTTCATCATCTAACCTGATAACCTACATTTTGGTTGTCATGGCAAGCAGCGGCCTGACTTGTTAGTCTGGGTGTTCTTTCAGATTTTAGACTCAGCATCAGTCTGTCTACATATGGGTTCCCTCCTCTGGGTCACTTTTCCCAGTGTCTTTCCTTCCTTCCTTCCTTCCTTCCTTCCTTCCTTCCTTCCTTCCTTCCTTTGTGTGCACAAGAGGGTGTATATGTATGTAAATGCATGTAAAGGTCAGAGATCAGCCACAAGTTTTGTACCTCTGGTGTCAAACGTTTTTATTGTTGTTGTAGATAAGGTCTCTGATAGAATGGAACCCACCTATTTGTCTAGGATGGCTGCACAGGGAGTCAGTTGTTTCTGACTCCACAACTCTGGGATAGGATCACGCTCAGGTGACTGTTCACCAAGCACTGTAGTGACTGAGCCATCTTCCCAGCCCCACACAGCTCTTCATGACGAAGACTGTGGACATGCGTCATAGACATAATTGAAGGAGGGCTGTATTTGTGGAGGCCACTCTCAAATGGCTCTGTTAAAACGTGGTCTGCTATTTTCATATTTTAGTGGCCACAGCTTCAAGGCCAGAACCAGGCTAATCTCAGGAACAAAAAGATGTTTTCTTAACTACAAATGGTGAAAACACGATTTAGGTAAGATTTGTATAAATACCTGTTTCCTCTGACTAGCAGGGCAGAGATTTACTTTGGAACTCAACTTCAAGGGACAATGTCATCTGAAATTACAGGACCCCAGAAACTTACTAAACAGAAAAGTCATAGTTTACAGACTCTATAAAAGCTAAGCCAAACTTAGAGGAGAACCATTCTAGGTTTGTAGTCCTCTAACCACCCACTAAGGACAAAGTAAGGATGAAAAAACTTTCTGCTACAGAGTGCATTAATTCACGCTGCATGGTTGGCAGGGCATTTCTTGGGACCTCTCCGTGACAGATTGCCAAGTGATTAGTGTCGTCAAGTTGACAGGATCTAGACTCACCTGGGAGAGAGGCTGCAGGCACTTAGGTGGGGAGATTATCTTGATTACCTAACTGATATTCAAGGGCCTAACTGTGGGCCATACCATTCCCTGAGCAGGGGACCCTGGGCTATACACATCGATCTTGGCGGCAGCATCCTCCAAACAAAAAATCCTGTTACGGATGTGATGGGGATCAGCTGCTTCGGGCATTGGCTGTCCTGCCTTCTCTGACGTGATCTCTGAGCCAGAACAAACTCATTTCTCCTGAGGCTGCTTTTTGTCACAGCTGCAGACACAAAAAGTAAGACGTTATCCAGCGACAAACTAAGGCTTATTGTGTGGTAGAGAGTAACTAACTACCCTAGGGTGGGCGCACAGTTTAAAACAGAAGAATCCAATGCCCTGTTAACGAAATGGTTTTGAGTCATTGAATTTTCAGAAAATTCCAGTCTCTTGCCATCTATTCCACAAACTGTCGGTAGAGGGCAGCTGAAGGCTTTTGGCGTAAAGCAGGCGCCATTGGAGCCCCAGTGGCCACCGCAGCGACGGTGCTACTCCAAAGCCAGAGCTTGAGGAGGGCGGAGCCGGAGGAGGGAGGCCAGAGCAAGAGAGCACGGCGTGGGAGGACTGCGCAGGGCCAGGCGTGTGTACTGACGGTGCACGGCAGTGGCACCGTGCTGGTGGTTGCAGAGCTGTGCAGAGCCCGGGCGGGTGCACAAGGCAGTGAGGGGCAGAGTAGGGCACAGGACGTTGCACTGGGCATTGCATTGGGCGTTGCACTAGAGGTGCAATACTCTGGGTTTTGCACCGGGCGTGCAGTACTCTGGGCGGTGCACAGGGGCGGTGCGGGGCGCAGGGCAGCTGACAGCGTCATCAGCTGGGAGCAGAGCGCGCTCCGCCTCAGCAGCCACCGCATCGCGCCGCGCTCAGCGGGTCCCGAAGCTGCGCCTGGAGACTAGCCGCGCTGAGCGGGCTCTCCCCAGGTAAGCGACCTCGGCTCTCAGCTGGAGCTGGATGCAGCTCGCGGGTGCCCGGCGCTTTTGGCAAGTCCCGGGAACCAGATTACTCTTCGGGGCTGAAGAACAGTATGCATCCCAGAACTGGGAGAGGGGGACCATCCAGCCTCATCCTGCATCCTCCAGGAGGGGAGGGTAGGGGTGAGCACGAAGCAGTAGCTCTGTTGGGAGAATGTTAGAATGAACATCTAACATTGCTTTGAAAGAGCAAAACCTCTGGGTTTTACACAGATTAGGGATCCCGTCCTAATAGGAGTTGCGGTTGGGAAAATCCTTCGACTGCAGGCATTGTCATGAATGCGGAAGTGGATCCCGTGGATTTAGGAAAAGTCACGGAAAGAGGTACAGCAAGAGAAAGAAGCTTTCTGAGTCTAGAAGAGACTGCTGAGGGATTCCTCATGCTTGGAACCCGGCCTCTAGACTTAATGCTCAGGAAAGAGACCCGCCTCAGCGTCTCCTTTCCCATTTTAAAGACCAGGCTTGGGATATCCACAGGACTCCCTTTCTGCTCCCGGTGGGAAACTGGGAGCCCAGGCAAGGCAAGGTGTAAGGATGTGGGTCTCCATCAGAGGACAATGACAGATGGCTGCCTAGGGTTTGGACTTCACCCTGTTGTGCAGTTTCCCGTCCCAGTTCAGATTCTTTGGGGTTGGGGGAGTCTTTGGCACTGAACAGCCCGCACCTCAGTTGTTCCATGCATCCAAAGGTGGAACACAGTGTAACTTGAGTGGAGGAATTCGTGCACAGCCCGCCTTGCTTAGGGATTTATTTCACGTTCTGGTCCTTGTTACCTTTAAATTGGCCCCCAGGCATGCTAGTTTATCCTAGCAGAAGTTTTATGGTTTGCTTAAAAAAACATAAAATCTTATTTGAAAGGGATATTTTGTAAGTAACAATAAAAAAGCTGAAGTATTTTACATCTCAAATCATCCCAAATGTGCTCTTTCCCACTGGCATTTGGATTCGAGGAGGTGGAGTGGGCGGGAGAGAAAAGAGGAGGATAAAATTAGAATAAATTTAACTAATTTGTATGGGAATCATACTTTTTTATTGCTGTTGCCTGCGATTGCAGACTGTTCAGTTTTATCTGTGCTAGTCCTTTATATTTGAGAGGCCCCTGAGCTGGGGCACAAGAAGACACAACAACCCCACATCCCCCACCCCTAGTTTATCTGAGAAACAGAAGATGCCACAGAGAAGAGGCCCATTTGACTGAGGACGCGGCATTTCATGTTAGTGGCTGTCCCCTGGAGAACACAGGCCAGGGATGGGGAGAGCAAGGGCTCGCTGCTGAGTAGCCAGGCTCAGAATCTCTGCTCACTGCTCAGTTTTCTTGTGTTGGAAACCAAGCTGCAGGGCTTATTCAGAAACCTCCAGAAGCTTTTGTTGTGATTGCTTTAGTAGAGATGCTCCTGAGGTCTGGGACACACAAGTTGAAAGGCATGCTGGAGACTCCAGCAGCTGGCTAGCAACCAGCCTTGCCAACAGAACTATTTCGGCCTGAGAATGGCAGATGGGGACCTTGCTACCAGCTTCACATATGTGTTCCATTCTCGCCAGCACACGTAATTCTGTATTTCACTAGAAACGACTTATTCTAATCACAAATGGCAGGACATCAGATGGAGCAACCCAGATCTCTGAAAAATAATGGGGCTTGTTTCATAAAGAAAGAAATTATGCCTCTCATAGTCAAACCTTTATTGCTCATTCTCAACAGTTAAGGGATGGCTGGCATGTTGAAATCAGTTGATGGTTTAAACAAAAAGCATCACAAGTCCAAGATGAATGCAGTATGCTTTTGCAGCAGCAGGGAATTTCTATTTGTCAAAGAGAGCATTTGGTCACCCCTGGTGGGAAGGCTCTGCCGCTTGCCTGTCGAAAGTACTCGGTGTTGACGTTTGAGCACAGACAGCCAGTGTCCCGTTCTCCCTCGCACAGGAGCATCAGGATCTCTATTGGTTGTCTGTGCTTCTGGTGGGGGCACACTGGCCATGGGCAGATGTCTTCTCAGGACTAAACTGATTTCTATGACATTAACTGATTTTGGTAATGATTTCTCCAGGGAACATTTCAAAAATGAAGGTGATAATTTCCTTGTTGTCAAAATTGCTGATATTCTCTCTCTCCCTCCTTCCCTCCCTCTTTCCTTCTCTACTTCCTGGTCCCCTATCTGTGTGTTTGTGTGCAAGGGGCGAGCACCTGTGGGGGGGTTACATGTGCAAACACATGTGTGTACATTCATTAGGGTGATGACCGGAGATCATTGTTGAAAGTCTTCTTTGGTGGTACTCTTACTTATTTTTTGAGGCAGAGTCTCTGACTGAACTTGGAGCTCACTGATTGATTAAGTTGCTGGCAGTGAGACTCGGGGACCCTCCTGACTCTGCCTTCTGGATTACAGACACAAACTGCTGTCCCTGGCTTTTTTATGTGGGTGTCACGGATCTGAATTCAGGTTTTCTTTCTTCCTACACTTGAACTATACTGACTGAGCCATCTCTTCAGACCCTGGGGCTCTTTTAAAAGTTAAATTGACTAATACCTGCATACATATTTAGGCATTAATGTAATGTTATCTAATTGCTTTCAAATAGTGCTTTAGTTTTAATTACGTGACAGGCAAGTGTCTCTTCCTTAACTTGGTGAAAAGTTCTTGAAGAGACAGGAACTGATGTCTTCTCTCTCTTCCTTTCTGTTGCTTTTGGCAAGTTCTGAAAAGAGATTCCCTACAGTCCTCTCCCTGGGGCAGCAAATGCTGCCCTGAAAATCAGTGCTGTCCAACAGACATGGAGTCGGGAGTGCTAACATGAGCGATTCGAATTGCATTGTTAGTCACACCAGGAGAGAAAAAGGGAGCAGGTGAAATCAATTTTAATATTTTCAGATTTAGTATCTCACATGTCAAAACTAACCAATTAAAAATTAAGTCAGCATGAAGCACCAATACTTTTTCCTTTTTTTCCTTCCCCATGCTAAATCTTAGATCCTCAAGGGCATCACAATACAGATCAGCTACTCAGTGTGACCAGTGGCCAGTAAAAGCTAACAGAGGCCAATGGGATGGCTTAGTGGGTAAGAGTGCCTGCCATCAAGCCTATTGACCAGAGGTCAACCCTGGGATTCACATGGTGGAAGGAGAGAACCAACTCTTGCATATTGTCCTCTGACCTCCTAACACATGTATGTGGAGGCTAGAGGACTGTTTCAGGAGTTATTATTTTGGGACAGAGTCTTTCGTTGAGTCTGGAGCTCATTGATTGATTAGACTAGCTGGCTGCCTAGCCCCAAGGCTCCATGCCTTTCCACTTCTTCATCATTGGGATTACAAATGTGTGCCATGTTCTAGCTTTTTATGAACACTGGGCATCAAACTCGGGTTCTGTTTGCACAACAGCAATGTACTGACTGAGCTGTCTGCTCAGCCCTCTGTGTACTTCTCTGCCAGTAAATAAAGAGGACCAACTCAAATAATTGCCGTGATTCTATGAGAATCAGCTGTCTGCATCCACTCTTCCTGGAGACTAGAGGTCTTTATTGCAGAAGCCAGGGATAGACACCAACTCTGTCCTAGGAGGTCCTGGTCTGGGTTTGCTTCAGCCAAGCTTCATATTTAGTGCCTCTATTGAGGAAGTCCCAGCAAACTCTGCTAAATTCATGCACATTGAACAGGCAGTGGTTTGCTGTGTGGCTCGATACTGTGTCTCTGATCTTTGGGTGCCAGTTGCCACCAATATGAGTATCATCAGTGTTTAAATATGCTTATTTTGACGTCACTAGATAAGGTTTGTGTGACATGTAGCTCTCTACACTTGACTCTTGAAACCTGCCTGCAGCTTGAAGCAGCGTTGTGAATGACCTGAACGCAGGGGTTTCATTATGGTTCAGCAGGCCAGTCAGGGCTGGAAAGGCACCTACTGATGCCCCTGGGTCCTCTGATCAGAAGTCATAATGGGAGACTTTGAAAGAGAGCAGCATTTTCATCAAAGAACTTCAGGCAAAAAAATTCCAAAGCTAATTAATGTCTGGAAAAGGATTATTTTTCTTTGAAAATAGAAAAACTCAGGACCCTTCCATTAGGGCTTTATACAGTGATTAACCACACATCCACTCACCCACACGTGCACAGTCATATACCTGCACACACACACACACACACACACACACACACACACATCCATAAACACACACATTCAAACACTCACACAAACCCAATACCCACATATCCATATATCCACACACCCACAAAACCACAAACTCACACATTCCCACACCCACATATCTATATACCACACACCTATATACCCATACACTCATATGCCCATATAACCACATTCCAACACACTCATATGCCCACATATCTACAAACCCCCACACACACATACACACATACCCATATTTCCACATGTCCAAACACCCACACATCCACATATTGACACAACCACATACCATACATCCACACACTACACACCCACACACCCACACATTCATATTTTCATATGTCCACACACCCATCTACCTGCATATCCATACCCACACTCCTACATACCCGTACATCCATACCCCAACACCCTAACCACATATCTACATACCTGCATATCTTCATACAACCACACACACATACAGCCACCTGCCCCATTACCCACCTGTACACACTCTCTCATAAACAGCCATACAACACTTCCTTCTTCAATGTCTCCAGAGGAGTAGGGTCAGTCATGCAACAAAGCTTTAAGAATTTTGAGTGGAGGAGGAAGCTTCCTACCTGTGGCCCTTAGGTTTCCAGGTGTTTGTGTGTGTGTGTTTGATGCTGGGCTTGAACTTCAGCTGGCTTCTTATTGTAAAAGAATATTCCAAAAGCTTTGGAACTTCTGGGTTTGGGGCTGATCTGAGAGAAGATGGTCAGAACCCATGCCTCTGCATCCAAGGCAGAATCCATCCAGCTCTCTGTGGCATTCAAATCTAAT